TATGTTTTCCGATGGTCTTAGGCGACCCCTGTGAAAGGGTCGTTCGACCCCCAAAGGGGTCGCGACCCACAGGTTGAGAGCCGCTGATCTAGAGCGTGGGAGCCGTTTCTAATCCACAAGGCGGCTTCCCTGCCTTCTGAGCCCTTCCCACACCTGCAGGAGACAACCCAGGCTCCGCCGCCCGCTTCCCACCGGCACGGGCCTGAGTGTTATCACTGCGAGTGAGCCACCACGAGAGGAGCAGCTTTGAGTAAAGATGCCACCCATGCCCAAGGCTGGCAGGCTTAGGTCATCACACACCAGGAGGGGTTGCCTGGTGACACCAACAGCGGGGGGAACATGGGCCTTAAGTGTGGGCACTTCCCACAGCAGGAGAAAATGGTCCGCAGGAGACAACGCAGGCTCCGCCGCCCGCTTCCCACCGGTTTACTTCCCCTCCGCAGGCCTGAGTGTTATCACTGCGAGTGAGCCACCACGAGAGGAGCAGCTTTGAGTAAAGATGCCACCCATGCCCAAGGCTGGCAGGCTTAGGTCATCACACACCAGGAGGGGTTGCCTGGTGACACCAACAGCGGGGGGAACATGGGCCTTAAGTGTGGGCACTTCCCACAGCAGGAGAAAATGGCTGGGACCCACCCCGAACCCGGAGATTCCTGTGTTTTCATAAAATAAGACAATCTCAACACCCGAGGCAGCAGGGAGTGTCAGGGTGCAAATATTTGCTCAGTGGGCAATGCTGGAAAGGCCTTTGGGAATCTCTCCAAAAGAAATCAAGAAGCCATAAACCGTGGCCTGGTGCCAGCCTCCCTCTCCCCGACGGGCCAGCACTCTCCTGAGGAAAGACACCGATTTTCTAAGAGCATCTGGGGACTGAAGTTCCTTCTCTGACTTGTCTCCCGGCTCCGGACTGGGACTCCACATCTGGCAGCTTGCAAAGCAGTGTGGACTCTTCTGAAATATCTAACAGCTTGACATGTGACAGATGTCTAGGACATCCTGACACCCCACAGGGCCAGCTTTTTCATTTTAATAAAAATAACTGACATGAAAAGGAAGATGGGGGAAAGGTGTCCATGTTTATTTGAGGCTACTATTTACATTTTCTGTTGAACTGTTTGTCATACCTTGTTGCTTAGGCACTTCTTTCCGACCAATCAAGTCCCAGTTGGTTGCCCCAAAAATCAAAAGCTGCCCTTTGCACTTAGACCCTTCAAGTTTCTGCAGAGACACAGAGGAAAAAAGAATTAGCTTGCAAGGCTGCTTCCAGCTTTCTTAGTTTGTCCAAAAACAGCAGGAAACAAAACTAATATAATATCAACACTTTCGCCCCGAGATCAGGCTGAGGTGCTCACCACCTCGTGGGCCCACTTTGGTATGCTAATCCCAACGCTGCCCCAGTTATGCACGGGCCCATTTTTATCCTTTGATTTCTCTTTAAAATATTTTTTGCAAAACAAATGACATCCCTCCCCTCCACTCTGCAAGAGGCCCGTGTCCCCGAGGGAATCTGAAGCAGCTGTCCTGGGGGCAAAGTCTACATTTTCTCACAAGAATGAGTTCCGCACATGGCCTTCAGCCTGGGGAGCCCGCGTCATCTCTGCACGGTAATTTGGCCAGTAATTCCCCATCCTTCCTCCGTGCTGCCCACTGTGCCAGGAGCATCTCCATGGGGAAGGCATCACAGCACAGTGCTCAGCTTCTCCACCTGGTGGGGCTGGTCCCACCCCGGTGGCCCTAGCCGGCCTCATCCTCACTGCTGGCCCATTAGCCGGGGATCAGTGGAGTGGAACAAGGGACCACCCAGGCGGGGCGTAGGCGGGAAGGCTGTGAGCCAGTCCTCATCCTCACAAGTCATTCGGAGGATGTGCCACCTTTGAAGCCACTGCCCAATGCTGGGTGGCACTCATTATACTTCCAGCACTTTGCTCTACTTCTGAAATGCCCAAATACACTTTTTAAAATAGATTGTTGTCAAAGATTCACTTCTGAGCAGTGCCCTCGGTCCCACCAGGCAAGGGAAGCAGTGACCTTGCATCCCATCCCCCACCCCCTCCAGGGACAGAAGGAAACCTCTGTCTATGGAATCATTCTTGGGAGCTTAAAGGGCCAACCCACTCTGGACCCAGTCATTCTAACCTCTACTCGGTGACTGCCCCGGTGGGACATTTTGGCAATATGGTGCGTCATTTGTAAAGACGAACATGTCTTCACCATCAATGACTCCGTCTCTTAAGACCTCTATGTGACCCCACAGTGCAGGTCCCATCACGCTCGCCCGCTTGGCCAAGTTTCCCTGGCTGGAAGCTGGTCCACCTACAGGACACCTCTGGCAGCGAGCATGCGAGGGGGACAGACAGCCAGGGATGGAGACCGACTTGGCTGCACTTAAATAATTTAGAGAACGGCCTTAATCGGAGGGTAGTCCATCCCTGCAGAACCCAGACTCGAATTACTTGAATGGGAGCCTAGTTTCCCCTGGTTATCTCTCCCCTTCTTTGTTTAACTGGCGGGCCTGGCTGGAACATTCTACAGGTCTGCACAGATGAATGGCAGCCAGTGGCTTCTGTCAAGTTCCCTGTGGAAGGAGCAGCCCGGGGCCTCTGCCATGTCACTGACTTGCTCTCCAGTATTCCTCAGGTGCGCGCGGAGGGCGGCAGACACCGGGAGGAACTAAGGCACCATGGGATGAGCTGCCAGGCCAGAGAATGGCTGGTGGGAATGGGGCTGTGGAATGAGGGCAGCTCAGGCCTGGCAGGTCCCCTCGGGCCCCCCTCCCTCCCTTCCCCCGGCGGGCAGAGGTCCTGGGTGCCACGTGCAGGACCAGCAGCTCCATCACCGCCTGAATGTGCTGCCAGCGCCCCGGGCAGGAGCAGGGTCTCCTCTGTGACCTGGAGATGCCGTCAGTGGTCAAGAGGCTGTGGACACTGGTCCCATCAAGCCAGCTAAGCATTTACACAAAAACCCAACCTTTCTGACACAAGGTGGTGTTTCTAAAACACCTTGGTAAATGCAGTCCGCTGCAGTGCCTGCGGTGTGGGCGTTGGGTTTTTGTCATGGGCCTTAATTCCTCAAAATCGGATGGAGGGAGTTGTCTCTGTCAGTGCTATTTATTACCTATACAATTGTTTGCTGTTACCTTTATTTCCCTACAATTTAATTCTCCCCTCTATCTTCTTTGAAATAAAAAATTAAAATAAGGAGCATTCCTATCACCCCTTAAGTCACAGCCCATGTCCCACTTTGTCAGAGAGCTGCATGACCCAGCTGGGAGAGACCCCGAATGCCTGGGGGCTCCGTCCGGAGACCCTCCAGGGGCGGCTGTGAGGGCTGGGAGACCCTCCCAGGTAGAAGCCACCTTCACTGATGGATGAACTCAGCGTCTGCGACATTGCATGTGCCTAAAGGTGAGAGAAGACTCTCAACTGTATGAATGAATTTCCCTTCACCTTGCTGCCTCCTGACAACCCGGTCACCTGAGCTGGGCAGAGATAAACGGCCCCGGGGGGAAAGGCACTGAGCTTCTTCAATCAACAAAATGGGGTTCCTGGTCCAGAGCAAGTTTTGAATTATTGCCCAAGTGCAAGGAGCATGTTTATGAGCCCGAGAGTCAACCTTTAACATCTATCCATTCAGAAGGCTGCTGCTGTCTCGGTGGAGGGAAGACCGTACAGAGAAATGCCAGCAACAACCAATTCCCGAATGGGCTTTCCACTCAGACTTGAAGCTCGGCTTCCAGTTGTATTTATTTGGCCCTTTCAGAGGGGGGATTTGTCTCAGGGTCCACAAAACCTCAGCAACCCAACACTGTAAAAACTATGTGTTCTAGGCTGAGCCCAGGCGGCTGGCTTTATCTACAGGATTAGGAAGTTCATGGGGAATTCTGGCTGCATCAACCCCAGACCATCACAACATGCTCACATCTGACAGAGCGACATATAAACCCAAGGACCTTGGAGAGACCATTTCCTGAGACCGAAAGAGGACAGTTTCTAAAAATGCACGCCCTTCACGTAAGGCAGCTCCCCTCAACCACACAAGTATCTGGGGTTCCTCTTTCACAAGCCCAAAGTCTGCAGCTTTGCGTTAACTGAAGGCAGCACAATTTCAGACAAACTCCTGGCGGCTGCTCTCACACAAACCGCCTTCAAGCGGCCCTGAACGGTGGCGAGGCTGGCAGAATTCTCAGTGAAAGCCTCTTTCTGAGACGAGCTGGGGACTTGTGGGCCTGGGACTGCTTAACAGGCAGAGACCTCGCATCTTTTTCCTTTGCAGTCCAGGGACCTGGGGCAGGGGATACTGGGCAGGAGGTCCATGCAGGATTGGGCAGTGCCGACCCCGACCTGGGACAGGGCAATGGGGCAGCCCGGGCCTCCTGGATGCTAATAAAAACTTAAAAAACTTGGGGTATGCACTTTCCAGGAGGCATAAAAAGGCATTTGTTGAACCCTCCGTCTCCTGAGCCTAGGATGGTGTGCTGACCAGTGCAAAGGAAACTGCTTAAGAGACTCTTTGCTTTTTAAGAAGGTAGGGGAAGGGATGTACACACATGGACATGCACATAAGAATGTCTCTCTCAGGATCTCAAAAGATAGGAGACGTAAGTGTCACACCACCTTCAACAGCAATGGACGGCCCTGTCTCAGACTCGGCAGTGCCACTGCCACCAGACAGGCCGCTGTGCACTGGCTGGTGGGAGCCTGGAGACCCCCGACTCTCTCTCCCTGGCTAGCTCCTTGGGCGAGTCCCAGCGTTGGGTAAGAATCTTACCTCCTCACAGCAAAACTCACTGCTCTAATAGGTTGACTGTCAACTCACAGGAGAGAGGAGAGCAGAGGCAGCGCCCACCAGCTCTCTCCTACCATCCAGAGACTGAGGGCAAATGTCTGGGGCCTCACACAGGGGATTCGACTGGTCAGAGGGAAACAGCTCATGCGTTCAGTTTCTTAAGACTGTGGCCATTTCCCGGCACGGTCCCCACCCCAGATAAGCCATTTTAGGGACCTGGGCTCCCCCACCACCACCACAGGGAGGGCAATTACCAAGCATTTTCACAGGAACAATGTGCAGGGGCGTGAGGATGACGTCAGAAAACACCTGGGCCCGTGTGGAAACCCAGCTGCATGTGATTCTGGGCTGGGTCCTGACACTCGCTGCCCCAGTTTTCTCGTCTATAAAGCGGATGATTTTTAACCATTTCAACATGGCCCGCGCTCCTTGGGAGGAAAGCAATCGGGCGCCGTTAACCCTGACACACCCTTTGGGGAGAGCACATAGGCCCTCTCCAGAGGTCAGCGTCAAGGACCTCCGTGGAAGTTCTTCCTCTCCCGGGATTGCCTGGGAACCTGGGGAGCTCGGACCCGCTCCTAAACGTGCATCTCACAGGTTTCCAGGATCGCAGCACCAGGCTCAGAGCTCTGGCTCTGCGGGGTTTTGCGGGCACCTAAGTTGAGACGGTCGCGATGTTGCGATGCGAAGGCCCGCTCTACCGAGCAAATCCAAGCCCACTCAGAACACGGAGATGCTTCCTGCAGAGAGAGGAGGGGCGGAGCGCTGCACGGAGCTCTCACCTAGCGCCCCGCCTCCGGACCCCAAGCGATGAACAAAGCCCAAATACCTCTCAGCCGGGGGGCTTCCGACCTCCAGGGGGAGGACTCTCCGG